AGGGAGAGGGAGAGGGAGAGTTTAGGGTTTTTGTTATTTCTTGAAAGTTGTGTAGAGATGCACCTCTACTTAAATAGAGAACCCTATTCCTAAAACTACGTTTTCTATCCTGACGGTTCAAGAAAATTTCTGAGCAGATTTGTAAACCAGAGCAGACGGGACATATCGTTTCTGTGTGGACTACCGCGCCCTGAATGCAGTGACTATTCCAGACCACTTTCCGATCCCCACTGCCGACGAGCTTTTTGATGAGTTGGGAGCCGCCCGGTACTTCACCAAGCTCGACCTCCGTGCCGAATATCATCAAATACGCATGCACGACCGGGACATTTACAAAACAACGTTTCGCACCCACGAGGGCCATTATGAATTTCGGGTTATGCCATTCGGTTTGACGAACGCCCCGTCCACCTTCCATGCGTGCATGAATAGATTGTTTGCGGCCTATCTTCGTCGCTTTGTCATCGTATTTTTTGATGACATCTTGGTCTACAGCCCGACTCTGCAAGCTCATGGTCGCCACCTACAGGTGGTCCTCCATTTGTTGGGATCACACATGTTCTTTGTCAAGCTTTCCAAATGTTCGTTCAGCGCCATGTTGATTGAGTATTTGGGCCACATTATCACCGAAGGGAAGCTACAGGCGGATCAAGCTAAGATTGCCGCTATGGTCACGTGGCCCGTACCGGCTACGGTGCACCAAATTCGCGGGTTCTTGGGACTTACGGGCTATTACCGTTGGTTCATTCATCATTATGCACACCTAGCGGCGCCCCTCACGGACCTCTTAAAGAAGGATTCCTTCACCTGGACATCTACGGCTACTCAAGCATTCGAGGCTTTGAAGCAAGTGCTCACGACCGCTCCCGTTCTACACCTCCCGGATTTTGCTCTCCGTTTTGTTGTGGACACTGACGCTTCGGCCGTGGGAATTGGGGCTGTTTTACTCCAGTGGCGTATTTCAGCAAGAAATTAGGGCCCCAGAAATTGTCGAGCTCCACTTATCATAAGGAATTGTATGCTATTGTCGCGGCCGTGTATAAATGGCACCTGTATCTCTTGGGTTGTAAATTTTTGATCCGTAAGGATCAACGGAGCTTAAAGGAGTTATTACAACAGGTGGTTCAGACTCCGGATCAGTAGTTTTACCTACGGAAGCTTTTGGGTTTTCGCTTCCAAATTGAGTACAAACCGGGTCGGACGAACACCGTGGTTGATGCACTGTCACGCCGCGGGGAAGACACCGTGGCTGCGGAGTTCCTGGCCCTTACCCAGCCTCTTCCGAAGATTATGCAGCGTATCCGTTTGGAGAACCACACCCAGCCCGACCTCTCTCGCATGCATGCCCTATTTCGCCGAGGATCGTTGCCAACGCCGTTCATTGTGGTTGATGGCCTACTGCTGTATAATACAAGGATCTGTATCGGGGAACAATTGGCGCTACGACATGAACTCTTGAAGGAATATCACGCTTCCCATACGGCCGGTCACACCGGTATCCACCGTACCTTCCTCCGGTTGGCATAGACTTTCTATTGGACTGGGATGCGCACCGACGTCCGCAAATATGTCAAGGCCTGTCCCACATGTCAACGAGCTAAATATTCTACTCAACCCCCGGGGGGTTTGCTTCAGGCCTTGCCAATTCCACATCAAGTTTGGGAGGACATCACCATGGATTTCGTCACTGGCTTGCCTCTTTCTCGGGGATCGTCGGTTATCTTGGTCGTGGTGGACTGCCTCACTAAGTACGTCCACTTTGGGCACTTACCGAGTGACTTTGACGCCCACCAGATGGCGTATTTATTTACGGACATGGTCATTAAGCTGCATGATCTTCCCCGGTCTATTATCTCGGATCATGATCGGATTTTTTTGAGCACCTTTTGGAAGGAACTTCATTCCTTGAGTGGTACCACACTGAAGCACAGCAGCGCTTTCCATCCGCAAACGGATGGCCAAACGGAGGTCCTCAATCAGACGTTGGAGCAGTATTTGCGCACGTTCGTACATGAACGACCCAAACGCTAGACAGTACTTCTTCCATGGAACGAGTATTCAATTAATACCAGTGTGCATAGCGGTCTACAGGTGATGCTGTTTCAAGCTTTGTATGGGCGGCCCCAGCCGGACCTTATCCCCTATAATCGTGGTGCAAGCAAGGTACCGGCTGTTGATGACATCCTGGCTGAACAGGACGCCCTGCTACGTCGCCTCCGTGGTAATTTGCAAGCTGCCCAGAACTGGATGAAGTTGCTAGCTGACAGGGTTTAGGGTGAAATTCAAGGTGGGGGATTGAGTGATATTGCGTCTCCAGCCGTATAGACAGCATTCAGTGGCGCGCTGTTCATCCCAGAAACTGGCGCTGCGATTTTATGGACCGTTCGAGGTGGTGTAGCGTGTAGGCCCCGTGGCTTATCGTTTGAAGTTGCCGGACAGTGCCCGCATTCATCCGGTCTTCCATGTTTTGGTGTTGCGGCCTTTCGTGGGGCAAGAGCCTGCCAACGACGTCCTTCCCTTGCCATACGACCTGGTGGACGGACGACCTCCGTCGAAGCCAGTTCAGATTCATGCTTCCCGTTGGGTGTTGCGCCAGGGGGTTCGCGTGGAGGAATACTTAGTTTCTTGGAGTGACGGCACCTTGGATGACGCTACGTGGGAGCCCGCGACCGTCATTCGTGAGCATTACCCTCATTTGCACCTTGAGGGCAAGGTGGTGTCTGAAGGCGGGGGGAGTGATACGGTCGAGGAACCTAGGGCAACGGAGCCAACGCACGAGGTTACGAGACGGATGGGGACGCGGGCTAGGCGTGCCCCGAGTTGGCAGAAGGAATTCGAGATGTATTAAAGCTTTATTTATCAACTTTATTTAATTATTGTATCGTAGATTTTGTTAGGTGAGCGAATTATAAGCTCCTTCGAGAGTTTCTTTACAGTTCTTTACCTCGTCGCTTTTCTTGAACCGTCAGGATAGAAAACGTAGTTTTAGGAATAGGGTTCTCTATTTAAGTAGAGGTGCATCTCTAAACTACTTTCAAGCAATAACAAAAACCCTAAACCCTATCTCTCTCTCTGGTTTACGTACGACATCTTGTCGGCGGCCTCTCTCCCTCTCTTCCCGTCACCTCTTCCTCCTACGAGTTCGAAGACGCTCTGAGTCTTCCTCTTTCGATACGAAACCGTATCAGTATACTAAAGTAAATTTCTTTTTTTCCAGGTGTGTTTAATATAATGTAATGAAGTTTGATGAAGTAAGTTGTTACTATTTGCATTGAAGTCATTCTAAGATCTTATTGGCAATAATAACTTTTGTATATGAGACATAACAATGACTAACTCCAAATTTTTTTCATGTTTACCTAAAGAATTTTTTTTCAAAAAAATGGGATATTTTTAACAACTCATTGAATTATAATTAGTAAATGTATACTGATTTATAAATAAATTCAGTTTAAAATGGCTAAGTGTTTTCTACCCAACCAAGTATTTTAAAAGAAAATTATACATTAAATCATGAGAGTTTATTTTTCAAGTTATCCTTCGTTACATTTTATGATTCCATAGCTCTTTCAAAAGTTTTATTTGATTTTCAATATTCTATTTAATAGATATATATTCAAATAATTATTACTGGCTTGAAATCCAATTTTAATAGTTTTTTCTTTGTCACACTGTGTAATGCAATGAGGCTATTTGAAAGAGAAACAGAAGTAGTTTTCATTAATAATAAGCTGAAATGGTAATTGTCCACAAATACTTTTTTCAAAGCCTCTATATTTCATATTTGTAAATTTTCACTTTTGAAGGTTGGAGTGCTACTAAATTTTCATTCATATTTTATATTTATATATATATATATATATATATATATACATATAGTAGTGAATAATAAAGAGGCTGTGATGATTGATTATCCATGTTTTATTTTATTCGGTTTACTGAAGTCAAGGAAGGATTACGTAACTTGGTGTGGCTAACTGGCTAGCCAGAAGCAGCCATGGCGTTATCTTATCACTTTTCCTTGAAATAAGTAGATGGTGTATATCTTAGCCTCTTTATAATTGCTTTGAAATGAGATTTTAAATGTGTTTTCTCCTTTTCAACTTGACTTGAGATTTGAGGGGCATCCATGTTTTATTTTATTCGGTTTACTGAAGTCAAGGAAGGATTACGAAACTTGGTGTGGCTAACTGGCTAGCCAGAAGCAGCCATGGCTTATCTTATCACTTTTCCTTGAAATAAGTAGATGGTGTATATCTTAGCCTCTTTATAATTGCTTTGAAATGAGATTTTAAATGTGTTTTCTCCTTTTCAACTTGACTTGAGATTTGAGGGGCATCATAATGAATACAATGGTTTGGGGCTGTGCCATTTTCAATGAACATGGTTTGGGGATGTGCCATCCCTGGTGTGAAAATTCGGAAGATTCAATGAACATGGTTTGGGGTTGTGCCATTTTCACTGTGGCGTGATGTTATCAATGTTGGGGCAGTGCATAGGGTGTCTTCTGTGAAGTACTTTGTGGATTTATTGATGCAATGAATATTGGGGCAATGGAGAGGGCTTTCATTCGTGTACTGCCTGGCTGGATTTATTAGATTGAGATGACATGTACTTGAATGTGTTTTGTCCAGAAGTGATTGTATATGTTTACAAAATGAGATGTAATGTATAGCTGCCATGTGTACCAAAGTATTTATAGCCATTGGATTATCATTTCTAGCGGGAAAATTGAGGAATGAAATTGCACTGAATTTTCATTCAACTTATATATATATAGTAGATATTGTACATTTTGGAATTTATTTTTGTTTCATGATCAATATTATAGAATTGAAATAAATTTTAATTATTAAATATAATTGTAAATTGAAATATGGTAGTCTTTCAAAAAGCTTTACAATGTATTTAAACAGTTTTCTAAATCTTTAAAGGACTACACAAAACTGTATTGTTAATAAACGTTAGAAGATTTAAACAAAGAGATGTATGAAATACAACAAATAAGGTTGATTCCATTTTACAAACACAACACATGATAGCAAGTGTTTTATGCAAACATACTTAGTTGTCTTCGGCGCAGTAGTCTGATTTATAATCTGACTAGTGTGTAAAAAGATAGTTTGAGTATATATATTTCAAGGACAACTACAAAAAAGCGCAGTGTTATTGAACACTATACAACTGAAAGAAATAGTTGTTTAAAATATAGCAAAATTAGTTTTCCATATTCTAGAAATTCAACAAAAGATAATAGTTGTCTGATGCCATTTTTGTTTAGTAGTCTTCCGAGCAGCAGTCTGATATATCTTTCAATTACTTTGTAAAATAGATGTCTATATTGTTGAACGACAACACCAAGAATTAGGAGTCTGAAGTTAAAAACAACAGTAATATTCATTATATATAGACAACAAAAAATCACAGTTATCTTTAACTCTAAAAAACAGATGTTTTACTCATACGGGGACAACACTAAAAAGTGATACTCTAAAACATTACAAAACAGGTGTCGTCAACCACTTTATACAATTGTTTTTAAACAATAGTCTGTAAATATATCAGACAGCTGCTCGGAAAACTACTGAAATCAGCATCGAGAGACTACTAAAAGAAACAGTTGTCAGCATCTATTTTTGACGCAGTGTGTTTTAGTCTTTTTGTACCAACATATTTAGAGTGTATAAATTAAGACATAATTCTTTTTTTGGATTTTGCTTCTTGAATCTTGCTTTGGGCATTCCTCATCATGATCTTGTATTTATCTTTTCTTATTCTAATAAAAATTTATTTGAACATGACGATATATTATCATAAAATTTATAATTGTGTACAATTTTAAATAGTCTTAATTGTATTTATGACGGGATTTTTCGACACAAAAAAATATTTTGGTGATGGTTAAAGTACTCTCATTAGATAGTTTTTAATAAGGGGACCTAGAGCCCGTCATTATTTGTAATAAGCTACGGAGGCTATAATGACGGTTGATGAGAGTAAATTTCCTCTCATTAAAATGTTTTAATAACGGTTTTCTTTGTTTTAACTACGGTTTGTTCTCACACTATAGAGCATTTTTCTTGTAGTGATGCATACTACCCTTTTCAATTAAACTGACAACAAATCCCAAAATCACAATCAACAATCACACAGATAAATCACATCAATCAACCACGATAACAATCATGAACAGAATTTCAAACCTAGATTCATATTATAGTGTTAGATGACCACGTACTCACCACGATTTATTCCAGGGAAATCACTCGGATTTCACCGTCAAAGTTTATTCACCTTGCTGCCCAGATCCACATCATTATCCATAGCCACAATAGCCTGTTCATTATGCCCAAATCCGTCCCAACATCGCCAGACGTTGCCGGAGTTAACTGGCGCTACCCGTTAGGGTTCATGTAAACCAGTGCGCAGCGTGAAGAAGAAGGAAGAAAAAAGTTTATTTCTCAATCATCTCAGATCAGCTTTACACAGACTTGGGAGGCACATATATATACAGATACAGAAAGGAAAATAGAAATATAACAGAAAGTGTAACAACCCTGTAACTAACTAATTGATACAACTGAAAATAACATGTGGAACACGTGCCATATTCTCTACATCCCCCCCTCAAGGTGGACTGGGAAGCAAAGGAAGCAGTCCCAACCTTG